ATGAGTACGCGTGTTCCAGGTTACTCTGTATCAGTATGTCGAACTCAGACTCCAATGACTCTGACTGCTGCAAGCAGGCCTCCTGCCTCACAAGCACTGTTTCCCTCTACCATGGTGATCCTCCCTATTCCAAAGGGCTAGCTGACTCATGAGAATATCAGTCTGCTATTTCTGTACTGTTCTCTGTTGGTGCTGTGGTTTGGACATTGAACGGCCCTGAAAGACCCATGCATGAAAGGGTTGGCATGCTGGCACTATTGGGAAGTGGTGACAACTTTGAGAGGCAGGGCCTTATGGAAGGTAAGCTTCAGAGGCAAACACATGGAGGTGACTGTGGGATTCCAGAACCTTCTTCTTTTTGCTTTCTGGCTATTAGATGAGGATTTTGCTCATCATGATAAGTCATCTTGCTACAGACCCAAAGCAACAGGTCAATCAGCTATGGACTGGAACCTCCAAATCCATAGGTCCAAATAACACTTTTCTTTATAAGACCATTATCTTGTATATTTTGTCATAGCAACATGAAGTTAGCACAATTAGTTTGGGGTTGCCCAATAGAAGGTCATGGGATTGCTCAACATGTGATCACAGCATTAGTCCACTTTGTACTGTATTTGTTTCCTTCATTCAAGTGTGTATCGTGGGGCTCTATGAAAGGAAGAGATAAGACAAATGAGCCCATATCTTACACAGAAACAGACAGCTGTTATCTTAGCAAAAGCAGACAGATGATGAGAGTATGAACTGCTAAGCGTAGTAAATGATACTAAGAAAATAAACACAGTGCAGTGATAGGAAAAAATGACAGGTAGTGATGAACTCCTTTAATTCCAGCACTCAAGAGGCAGAGGCAGATGAATCTCTGTAAGTTCAAGGCCAGCATGGTAACAAGTCCCAGGCCAGTTAGAGCTACAGGATGAAACCTGTCTTAGACAGACAGACAGACACACACACACAGAGAGAGAGAGAGAGAGAGAGAGAGAGAGAGAGAGAGAGAGAGAGAGAGAGAGAGGGTGGCCAGACAATCAGACAATGAGGCAGAGGATTACATCTAATAAGAGCTATTTTTCACAAATGCAGCCTTTTTTTTTTAAAACAAGTTCCTTGAGTTGCTTAGATTACCTAGAACTATCACTCAGGCTAGAAGGGCTGTAGCCTGGAGCAGCTCCAAGTAGCCTGGAGCCACCATTTCCCTCTAAGGACCACACACTGCAGAACCCTCTGTGTCCCACCGGTCTCTTCTCCCCACAGCAGTGTTTAATAAAACCTGACTGTTCTTCTCTCTGTCTTTCTGTGCTATCACAGTGTGTACTCCAGGGTTCTGACTGAGGCCAACAGCCCCAATGATGCAGAAAAGAGAGGTGAGAGCCAAGTCTCTATTAATCCACAACCCAAAGTCAGCCTTGCCCAGTGTCTATAGGTGATGCTGAAGTACAGTTATGTTAGCAAATTTGAAAATCACTCTTGACCACAGAGCTAGGAATTGTACAGTGAAACTCCAAGACAGGTTAATGGTCAGATTTGGTGTGTAAATCTCCGATGTGGAAATTAGCAGGGTATTCTACTCCCATCCTTTAACTCAGTTTCCCTGTACTTTGGCTGGCATCACAGAGTAGGAGGAATAGGATAAAGAAACATAAAAGAAATTATTTTTGCATTATTTTTCTAGAGGTATAATATTTATACATGCACACATACATACAAGTAAACAAGTGCTCCAAAGATAGATATATAAATAGATAGGCAAACAGATAGATACTATACTATACTAAATTTCCAGAATCCCTAGAAAGTCTATAAAAAGTTATGTGCCTAGGTCCTGCCTCTAGAAATTAAATGTTTTTTGTTGGCCTCATGTATGGATATGATTTTAAAGTCTCTAGGTGATTCCAATGGTTATAGAGATAGAAGATCACTAGAGCAGCACTCTCAAACTTGGCCTTGTACCAGAATTACCCAGAGGGATTTGCCATGGTTTGACTGGCTGGCTTTCATTATTTCACCCCTGACTTCACCCTGTGGAGTGGCCTGGCTGCCTCCCCAAACTCATTCAAAGCTCTGGATTTTATTATCTTTGAGTTTTATACTTTGGTTCCTCCTTCTCAAACATTTACTAGGCATAGGAAGCAGCTGGGAACCTTGTTAAAAAATGCAGGTTCTGGGAGCATGCCAGAGGCTAGATGGGGTGGGGGTAGAGAGTTGCCTAACAGGTATCAAGTTTCCATTTCTGTATGGTAAAAAGAGTCCTGTAAATTGGTTGCAGGATTAAGTGAATGCACTTGGATCTACTTATCTGCATACTAAAAAATAGCTATTACTATAAAAATTCTACATTGTATGTATTTTATTATGATCTTTTAAAAATGTAGATTCAACTGGTCTAGGAACAGCCCAGGATTTGGCATTTCTTGTAAATGGCCAAGTGTCTCTGATGCTGTTGTCCAGGGGACCACTTTGGAAACCAGGATGGTCCAGGAATTTGACTTCATGAATATTCTCCATCACCATCTCTGAAACATTGATCTAACAGGGTGAGGTTGGGCCCAGGCAGGGGGTGGGTTCTTTAAATTCTCTGATAGCAAAGTTTTCTGTGAGCTTCAGTTCCAAAGGTGCTGTGGGTAGATATATCAGTTATAGATATGTTCCACTGCTCCTGACATTTCACTTCTAGTCCAAGTCAAAGTCATTGTGTGCCCTACAGCTCAGTAAGAGCATAGATCACCCACTAGTAACAGAAAAGATTGTCTGTTGGAAGAGCAAGTAGACTCCAGAATCTAATTAACCAGGACTCATTTGGCAAGCTATGGGTTCATGATTGTCTTGGAGCAGCTGAGATACTATATACCTCAGTAGGTCAGGATTCCACAGTCGACACAACTGGCCATATCCTTCCCAAGCCCCCTGTGCTATGACCAAACTATCCTACATCAGTAGCCAGCCACTTCATATGTACCCACAGCAAGTCTCTGGAGTCCCAGAGTAGCCCAAAGACACTAGACTTTAGTTCTTACATCTTGAGGATTTACTATTATGGTCACTGCTTTGTGGGTGAAAAAACATCAACTTAGCAGAATTGAGTGACTTCCTGAAAGACAGAATAGAGCCTATTGATAACAGAGCCAGCATTTGAAACTAGCTTTGTCTGGGAAGGTTGTCCAGGATCTCCTCACTATGGAGACTATGTTCCTATGTGCTTGGAACCAGGGCCAACAGTGGACCACTGCCCAGGAGCACAGATTAGTATGTAAACTGTGTCAAGGATGACTGGAAAGAGTCCTCCATTCAAAGCAGGCTTCTTCAGTGCCCACTGTCAGAAGCAAGTCATTCTTTGTTTCCAAATTTCATTCTACTGAACTGAACTCCTGGAACCCAGTTGCAGAGAGGGAAGAGTGATGAGCAAAGGAGTCAAGACCAGGTTGGAGAAACCCACAGAAACAACTGACCTGAACAAGGGGGAGCTCTTGGACCCCAGACTGATAGCTGAGAGGCCAGCATAGGGCTGATCCAGACCCCGTAAATTTGGGTATCAGTGAAGAGGCCTAGGCAATCTATGGGGCCTTGGGTAGTAGATCAATATTTATCTCTGTCATACAAATGGATTTGGGAGCCCATCCCACCTCAAGGGATGCTCTCTCAGCCTGGACACATGGGGGAGGGCCTAGGCCCTGCCATGGATGAAATGACAGACTCTGGAGATGCCTCATGGAGGGCCTCACCCTCCCTGGGGAGCAGAGTGGGGATTGGGTGGGGGGCTGGGGGAGTTTGTGGGGAATGGGGGAGGAGTGGAGGGAGAAGGAGCTGGGATTGACAAGTGAAACAAGCTTGTTCCTAATTTACATTAAAAAAGAAAAGAATTTCATTCTACATTCCAACCAAAGTTCTCCCTCCCACCCATTCTCCCATCCCCCTCACCTCCTACCCAGCCCACCACCCATCCACTCCTCCCAACAGGTAAGGACTCAGAGGGAGTTGACAAAGTCTGCCACATTAAGTTGGGGCAGGACCAAGCCCCTCCCCCTGCATTAAGGCTGAGCAAGGCGTGCCCTCACAGGGAATGGGCTCCAACAAGCTAGCTCATGCACCAGAGATATATCCTGGTCCTACTGCCAGGGGCCCCTCAGACAGCCCAAGCTTTGCAACTTTACATATGGAGGGCTTAGTTCTGCACCACGGAGGCTCCACAGTTGTTGATCCAGAGTTCATAATTTTCCGTGAGCAAGTCCTTCTGGAGAGGGATTTACACTTAAAATAACGTGTGCTAAGGGGTTAGTGAGGCCTGGACTTTAAGAAGTAACATGATTTGTTTAAGAGGAATTTATTAACTTAAATGAGTTCTCTGATGCTAGAGACGTGTAAGAGATGACCAGTGAGATGGCTTGGTGGGTAAGGTGCCTGAGTTCAATTCCCAGGCACCATGTGATGGAAAGAGAGAAATGGCTCTTACAAGCTGTCCTCTGACTTCCACACACATGCACACCCCCTCCCTCATACACAATACATCAATTCAATTAAAAAAATAATGTAAAAAGAAAGAAGTGTAAGAAAAAGTCATGGGCTGTGCTAGGAGTGGGGTGTTGAAGGACTTTTAGATTCATCTAGATACTTGGAAAGGAAAGGATCTTAGACCATCTGGTCTCCTTTTGCCTTGTTTCTAGAGCAGTGCTTCTCAACTTTGGGTCATGACCCCCAAAAGACCTTCAGAAAGCACAGTATAATACTAGCAACATTATAGTTACAAAGTAGCAACGAAAATGATTCTATGGTTGGGAGTCCCCACAACATGAGGGCCTGTGTTAAAGAGATGCAGCATTAGGAAGGTTGAGAACCACTGCTCTAGTATGAAGTTCCATCAAGCAACTTTAAGTACGAATATGGCTGAATACAAGTTCCCTCGAGTGCTTTAAATGTTCTTTTATCATTTACCTTCCTCACTTACCCTGTACCAAAGAGGAGCTGGTGTGATTATTAGCACACACATCTACTGTGCATTCAGTGTGTATCAAAACATTTATTTACTAAATTCTGGTGGAATGCTTGAAATATGCAAATCAACATAAAATGTTTGGCTCCGAAGCACACAGTTCTTGCTGGTTTATAACTGTCTTTGTGTTAAAGGAACTCTAGAAGAGATATTCTAGCTAAGACTTTAAAGGCGGCAGATGCAGGCATTTACTAGACAAAGAAGCAGGAGCAAGAATCTTCTGGGTACAGAGCCAGGGAAAAGTCCACGACAGCTCACAGAAAGTGATTTCCCATGGTGCAAAATGCAAGCCAGACCGGGGCAAATCTAAGGAGCCACTAGGGTTTAAAGGATCATAGAGCAGTGGTAAACAGACAGGGTGATGAGAGGCTTCATCTCCAGCCAGGCATTGGTCCAGAACTAGAGTTCTGAGGCCTTCAGGGAAGGGAGGCTGTGGATGGTCGGGAAAATCCAGAGACTCTGAGTTTGGTGGTACTTAGCCTTCATCATTCATGTTCTTCTCTTTGTAGCTGACATCTAGTCTGGGGCCTTAGATTCAGCACCCCTGCCAGAGAAATAGAGAAGAAATAAGAAGACAAGAAAATCCATAATTGAATCTAAGGAATAGTTTATATTGAATCTAAGAAAGTATAAACATGATGATTTATTCATGTAGTTAATTTCTGCAGTGCTGGAAATGGAATACCAGGCTTTTTATATGCTAGGCAAAATCTCTACCACTGAGCTACAACCTGGCCTTTTATATTTTTTTTAGTGTTACTGTCTCTAAAATGAATAAATTTTGAATAAAGTTAGTGTGTGGGTGTGGTGGGAGGTTATTGCTTACTTGTTGTTTGATTTGCTTGCTCTTTCTGAAATCCTATGGCCGTTTCTGAAATTGCTGATGGTGACACGCAGGGATTAATTCAACTCACAGTCCTGCTGTATCCTGGTTCTCAGCACTAACTCACTGCCTTGCCCTCCCTGCTTGTTCTGAGAACTGCCAAGAGTGCTGACTCAGCATCCAGAGAGGCTCCTCAGGCTTCCTGGCAGCCTCCCTGGACCATGAGGCCAGGGTGGCCTGATTCCTGTTCTCCCACACTTAAAAGAGCACGGTGAGATTTGCAGCCTTCTTTTGTTTTGTTTTAACTATTGATGTGTGAAGAGTGGGGACTCTCTCTTCCTCCACACCACCGCCCTCAGCATCCACACCAAGGTGTTATGATAGCATAATATAATGACTGGAATTGGAAGCTCTTTGCCCTGAGAGGGTTACTCAGAGGTGAATTCTCTTAGTCATTTGTCCTCAGGTGACTTACCTGGAGGAGGAGGATCTTTGTTCCCTATGGAACCAGTGTGTGACCTGGAAAAGACTTTGGACTCCACTTAGTAGGGGATGAAACTGGGGCCAAAGTGAGTTAAGTAAATTGGATTAGGTCTGGTAATGCAGCCAGTTAGTAGCAAAGTTAAACTGGCAAATCAAATCTTAACTGGGCTTTTCTATTGTCTGTACTTCCTGTCTTGAAAATTAACTGGTTTTATATATGCTGACTTGCTAACACCACCACAATTACAATTAGCTTCCTAATTCGTCTGAATTGTGGCATATCATGATTAACTAGTTGTTTGGGTAAGCTAAGAAGGCATTCATCATTTAAACAAGAATACCTCAACTCTATTTAGACCCATTTATTGCACTTCCAGGAATTCATCCAGAGGAAGCATTTCAAAAGGGAAAAAATGCTAGTCATGCAGAGATGTTTATAAATAGCTTTATTTAGATAGCAGAAAACAAGAATGAAGAACAATTTGGCAATGATTAAACAGGTATCAATTCAATTAGAATAATACATAGTCACTACAAAAAATACATGAGACATTCAAGAAGCATGCAAGTGAATATGCTTCATAATTGCATACTATAGAGCCTGGAGATTGTTTTTATATTATATTATCTCACTTGTTTTCACAACATCCCTGTGAAATTAAAGCACCTATCTCCATTTACTGTGTCTCAGGTCATGAAATATTCATCACATTGACCACAATGATTTAAAACCATAGGCAAAGTAATCAGGCTTAGAAATGTAAGTTGTAAGATAGTTGCTCCATTAAAACAAGTGTTTAGCTATATGCATACATCTGCCTATGGGTTTTTTTTTTTTGTGGAATTCCTAATCGCTGAGTATTTCCAAGACAAGTTATCTTAATCATAAAAACTATGTCCTTCACTTTTCTTATTAAATATCAGAATCTTGGGGTTATTTATGACATGGATTCACTTTGATTTGTGTAGTTTCATAGGAATCACATTGGGGTCTATATTCCTCCATGGAGAAGACTACCAGATGTGGCCAAATAAGCACTTTTGTTACCAATTCCAACAATGTCTCAGACCCAAAGGATCTTGTCCTCACTCTGACTTGGGTGGCATTCTCTTGAGTAGCCATTAAAGAGTTCTTCTCTGAAAAGCAATGCCACGAGTCTCTGGTGGGAATTTTAGGAAGATTTCAGAACAGTCCCCTGTAGTAGTCAGAGTGACCCAATAGGTAGGTGTAATAAGACTCAACCTGTACCCATGGTAATGTGAAAAACCAGTTGTTCTCAATATTTTGCTGTTTCTTGTCGTTCTAACTGAATCTCAATGCCTCTTCTAGGACAAAAGTTTTCTGCCATAAGAATGCTGATTTGAATATCTCTAATGCTGAACCTCCTGGAACACAAAGCAGAACCATGTGTCTTCTTGTCAACATAGATGTTCATGCTGCGGAAAATCCTGCCTCTCCTTGTGCAGAGCTGATCTTTGAAGGAATGCCTCTGGCTACAACTAAGAACAGAGAGGTTGACAGCTAGAAAGAATATTCAGATGACTGGATGATTGAAGACACACTGTGTGTGTGTGTGTGTGTGTGTGTGTGTGTGTGTCTGTCTGTCTCTCTGTCTGTCTTAGTCAACCAAGTGTGGTGGTACACACCTATAATCCCAGAACTAAGAAAGTTGAGGCAGAAGGATCTTGAGTTTAGGCCATACTACAAAACAAGGCCCTGTCTCACTAAATACACACACACACACACACAGCAGGTGAAGAACTATATCAGGTCTTTTTTTGTTTTTTTGGGGGGGGGTTTCGAGACAGGGTTTCTCTGTGGCTTTGGAGGCTGTCCTGGAACTTGCTCGGTAGACCAGACTGGTCTCGAACTCACAGTGATCCACCTGCCTCTGCCTCCCGAGTGCTGGGATTAAAGGCATGAGCCACCAACGCCCAGCTTATATCAGGTCTTATAGATGGAGAAAACTTTCAAGAACCCCAGTTTAACACTATTCTAATAAGCTATCTCTATGCTCCAGCCCTTTCTTGCCAGAGCAAGCTTTATTGTGAAAAAGGAAGCTGTGGATACTCACAATCTCCTTTTCATTCTTTGAAAGACTCTGGCATTAAGCCCCACCCCCAGATGGCCCATGCTACTACATGAGAACTAGCCTTCTAGCAGCTCCTTTAGAGACTTGAGTGGAAACAGGCCAGGGTTCAGAACACCATTGTTATGCTTTCTGTGCTCTTTCCTGACTCAATATGCAGTTCCTCCTGCAGCCTCTCACTGCTGGCATTTTCATACACTCATTCTGGAGAAGGCCTTAGTCAAGGACTGGAATTGCCAATAAAACCCCCCAAATCCCATCTTCAAATGAAACAATGTACTCTTTCACCTCCTGAGATTTCCCCAGACATCAAACTCCAGCTGTCTCTAAGGAAAGCTGCTTGGTAATCCTCAACCCCCTTCCTTGGCTTCTCTATTCTCTTTTGCCTTCTCAGTTGCTTACCATCTTTTCTTGGGATTGCCTCCCAAATAAACAGTTTATATTAGTATCAATCTTTCAAGATGTGATTTTAAATGGTGCTAAAAGAAAACACTGAATTCTCTCCCTGAAAGTGAGTCCTTCTGAAGGCTCCTGAAGCAGGGCAATTAACTGAACACCACCCAAAGGCAAGGAAGTTGGTGGATGGAGAAGCTCAGAGAAGCCTGGGGTCTGACCTGTAGGAACCATCAAAACAGACAGCTCTAATGAGCGTGGCACTGTGGAAGAAGACATCTGGTCTACCACACTGCTGGGACAGACCACTGAAAGGCATTGCAGCATGCCTCATAGGATATTTTTGACCTCCATGAATTTCTTCATTTTTAAAATAATTTATACAGTTGATTTTCAGTCAGAAAAATAAACATATATATACATATATCAAAAGAAGGAGTAATTCTTTTTTAAAAAAGTTTCTTAGTTTTTATTGGAATTTTTTTCATGCGGCATATTTTGATGACAATTTTCCTTCTCAAACTCCTCTTAGATTCTTCTACCTCTCCCACCAACGCCACATCCTTTCTTTCTCTCTTTCTTTAAAAGATAAACAAAAACAAAACCTGGGGGGGGAAAATCGAGAAATACACACAACCCTCTACCACACAAAAACACAAAAATGGAAACCAAAATGTATAAGCAAAAGATTATTATGATAGTTTGAATGTAATTGGCCCACACAATCTCATAGGGAGTGGCATTATTAGAAGATGAGGCTTTGTTAGAGTGGGTGTGGCCTTGTTGGAGGAAATGGGTCACTGTGGGGGTGGGTTGTAAAGTTTCCTATGCTCAGGATACCATCCAGTATCTCAGTCAACTTCCTGTTTCTTGGAAGTCAAGATGTAGCCAGCACCACATCTGCCTGCATGCTGCAATGCTCCTCACCATGATAACTGAACCTCTGCAACTGTAAGTGAGCCACTCCAATTAAATAGCTTTTTTTTTTGTAAGAGTTGCTGTGGTCATGGTGTCTTTTCACAGCAGTGAAAACACTAAGTAAGACAATCATTAAGACAAAAAAAAAAAATGCCCAAACAAAGCAAAATGAGAGGAAAAGTAGATAAAAATACCATTGGATTTGTTTTGTATTGAACTGGACCTGGGGCCTACCCTGAAGTATGGTTTATATGCCCAGTAAGACTCTGTTGGAGAAAACTAATTTTTCTTTTACAAGTGGATATCAATTGGAGATAGCTTGTCTAGCGGAGCGAGTCCATGTCTACTTCTCCCTCCCAGTGCTAGCACTCTGTCTAACTTGAACCTATGCTTGCTGCTGCAGGCTCTGTGAGTTCATATGTACATCAGTCCTGTTGTGTTGGATGTTCTGTGTGCACGGGGAGGTCAAATAAACAGGGTCTCTCCAAGATGAATTTTAGGCTCTTTGGCAGCAGGGAGGAACAGTTCCTGTGAACTAAATCTTAAAGAGCCACACGAAGGCATATTCATCGATTGTTACAAAAAAGGTCCTGTTTGGGTAAAACAAGGTCCTCATACCAAAGCCCTGATATAATCCATATGTTTTCTGAAGGAAAGCACCACACCCCTGCCACTTTAGTCCTAATTTGTACTGTTTGCAATGTACAATAATTCAAGGTATACAGGTATGCCAGGATAGTTTTTTGACTAAAGTCATGCAGAGGCTGTAAAGCTCCTTCAGAAACACTCAATAGATAACAAAACAATCACTGTTTTCTGGTGATTTCTTCAAGGTCTAAATATTTCTATAAAACAGCTATTCATTCTGATATTTGCCCTGGATACTGTGGAAAAACAACTCTTTCATTCTAATGTTTACCCTAGATTGTAGACCGTTTTTTATTTTTGATCAGGACTGTAAGCTCCCCAATAAACAACATAGAGACTGTTATTAGTTACAAATGCTCAGCCAATAGCTTAGGCTTGTTACTAACTAGCTCTTACTGCTTAAATTAATTCCTATTTATTAATTTGCACGCTGCCACGTGGCTCATGGTTTGTTACCTCGTCTTCTACATGCCCTGCTTTCTCTGCATCTGGCTGGTGGCTCTGCCCTTCTCCTTCCTAGCTTTCTCTCAACACATCGTCACAGTGTGCAAAAGGGTTATGCCACAGCACTAGATACAATAATTCTACTAATTTTTCCTCTACACTGTTGTGTCTGGAAGACACTGTTTCCTTGGAGTCATCTATCACCTCTGGCTCTTTTTGCCTCTTCTGCATAGGTCACTAAGGGAAGGGGTTTCAGAAAGACATTCCATTTAGGACTGAATGCCCCACAGTATCTCAGTCTCTGCAAATTGTTCAGCTATGGGTCTCTGTGTTGGTTCCCATCTACTGCAAGAAGAAACTTCTCTGATGATGGCTGAGTAAGGCCCTGATCTGAGTAAAAACCCTATGTGGTCACTGGGAATCCCTGGAAGAAAGTGTTTCTGGGTTTGGGTGACAAAAAGGAATGGAGACAGGCTAGAAAGGAAGGCTGAAAGAGTTGGTGACTGTAGTGGTTTGAAAGAAAATGGACCCTGTAAGCACATAGGGAATGGTGGTACTAGGAGGTGTGGGCTTGTTAGAAGAAATGTGTCACTGGGGGTGGGCTTTGAGGACTCAGATGCTCAAGCCAGAACTAGTACAACTTTCCCTTCCTGTTGCTTGCTGATCTAGATGTAGAACTCTGAGTTACCTCTCCAACACCATGTCTGTCTGCATGACACCATGCTTCGTACCATGATAATTGGCTAAATCTCTGAAACTGTAAGCAAACCCCAATTAAATGTTTTCCTTTATAAGAATTAACATGGTCATGGTGTTTCTTCACAGCAATCAAAATTCTAAGACAATGAGAAAGAGTTAAATGGGGTCAACCCATGGCCCTGTATAATAATGGTAACATGTTTATATAATTTACCAGGTAAAGAGAAAAATGTGAATGTTTAGTTTTATAGGGTTTTTTGTTTGTTTGTTTTTTGAGAAAGGGTTTCTCTGTCTTTAGAGGCTGTCCTAGAACCAGCTTTTATAGACCAGGCTGGTCTCAGACTCATAGAGATCTACCTGCCTGTGCCTTCTGAGTCCTGGGATTAAAGGTGTGTGCCACAAACTGCCCGGCTTAGGTCTATTATAAAACCATGAATGGTTTATGAAAATTGTGCTTTGGGGAAGTAAGAATAAAATATAGTTTCAAGTCTTTCCCATTAGTAACTACAGTGAACTGAGGAAATATCTACCCATAAAAATAACTTTAGCTAGAAACAATGCAATGGACATTATTGGGTTATATATTGTCAGCTCCTTCTCCCTCCAAAAATTATTTAACTTCAAAAGAAAGTTGTAACTTAACTATAAGAATTCTTAGCAAGAATGAGGCAGCCATTTTGCTCCTTTCACACTGTGGTCCATTCTGCAATGGGCACTGTAACAGCCATGGCAGATCTTTCTTTCCCTGTAAGACATAATTCAGAACATTATAGGTTAAGGAACATTTTTGTGTGGACCAAGTGAGCACATTGGATTTCTTTGACTGTAGTAAACTCTGCACACATAAAATTTACTGGTTTAACCACATCCAGCTGATTTGTCATTGTCTGTTCACCTTGGGTGCAGCCATCACTGTCAATCAAAACTCTGCGACCGTTAGACATTTCCCCATGCCCCCTTCCTTCAGCCTCCGGCAGTCACAGCTTCACACATCATAATATCTTCAAGGTTCTTTCATGCTGTGGCATGTGTCAAATTCCCTCCTGTTTTAAGGCTAAACAATATTCTATAATTTATGTGTGTGTGTGTATGTATGTATGTATGTATGCGTGCATATATGTATGCATATGTTTGTTTATCCTAGTACCTATTGATAGACTCTTGGTCTGTTTACACAACTAGGTATTATTCAGATTTATGCTGTGGAATTTGGTCTATATGTATCTGCTTAAGATCCCTGAACTTGATTTTTTTTGTGTGGAATTCTATTCCTAACACAGCCTGGATGATAGGACTTTAAGTTGTTCAAGAGGCTTTCTTTCAGATTTGGTTCCAGCTCAAATCTGCTACAAAAAAATCAAACAAATGAAATATTTGTTCTATTTTTGAAATATGGGCATAAAATGGGTGTACATAGGGAGAAAGGCTTAATAAAAGAAAGGTGTGTTTTAAAGACAGAGTGTAAACACCACACATCTCAGCCGCAGTGGCTCCTGATTTTATCCTTTTATAGACATTTGCTTTAGTTTCCTGGAAGCAAACAAAGAATTGAGAACTTGGGAGTCAGCAAGAGTTCTCTTCGAGTAATATTTAACTGCAGTGAAATTATTTTCTTTAACACCTACTTCAACTTTTCTGATTCATTCTGTGATTTTAAGCAAACTGCTAATCTTCTTACTTAAAAGTGGTTTTAAAACATATATATCTACTTGTGAATTACATTGTTGCTATGTTCCAGCATCTAGGAACTTTGAAAGTTACTTGTTTTGGCTCTAAATATGGTCAGATTTCTCCCTCATAACCTGAGTGGTTTCCTATAAATGCACTTCAATCAGCTTGTCAGACAATGAGATGAGAGTCAGTCAGTTGAATGTCAGCTCCTATAACTCCAAAGGTAGTTCTGATTAAAACCATACAAGTGAGGTACTTAGCAGGGTAAGCATGAAGCTCAGTCAGACTTCGGAGCTTCTGCTTTGATCTGAAACTGTTGCTAGGTAACCGTTTGAACGGGACACCTAGATCCTATCAGCTGCTGTCCTCCATTCCCACTCTTTCTATAAACCATAACCTTTATCCCCAACCCAGAGTAACATCAAAACCCTCAAAGAGAAGATGTGTGTGTATGTGTAATAGTGTGTGAATGTGTAAGAATGTGAGTATATGAGTGTTTGAGAGTGTGTTAGTGTGTGTGCATGTGTAAGAGAGACTGTGTGAGTGTAAGAGTGTGAGTGTGTGCATGTCTGTGAGTGTGTAAGAGAGTATGTATGAGTGTGTAAGAGAGTGTATGTGAGTTGATTTTCTTTAATATACTTTTTATTTAATAATTTACAGTAATTTTACATGTAAATCCCCTGTTTCTTCTCCCTCCCATCCTCCCATGCCCCTTACCAACCTCCCCAACCAACCCCCACCCCCACCCCAAGGACTTTGAGGCTTTCCATGGGGGAATCAGCAAAATCTGTCACATCATTTGGGGAAGGGCTTAGGTCCTCCTCCATGTATCTTGGGTAAAATAGCATCACCCCAAAGGGAATGGGCTCCCAAAGTCTATTTGTGTACTAGGAATAAATACTGGTTCCACTGTTAGAGGTCCCATAGACTGCCAAGGCCTCCTAACTGGCTCCCACATTCAGAGGGTTTGGTTTGGTCCAATGCTGGTTACCCAGTTTTACGACAGGGGTCCGTGCTCTCACTAGGTCAGGTCAGCTGGTTCTGTAGATTTCTCCAGCACGGTCTTGACTCCTTTGCTCATCCCTCCTCCCTCTCTACAATTGGATTCCAGGAGTATGGCTCAGTGCTTAGCTGTGGGTGTCTGTTTCTGCTTCCATCAGCTACTGGATGAAAGCTCTAGAATGTGTAGTTAAGATAGTCATCAGTCTCATTATAATGGAAGGACATCAAAGACAGCCTCTCCACTACTTCCTAGATTCTTAGTTGGGGTCATCTTTGTGGATCTCTGAACATTTCCCTAGTGCCAGATTTCTCTTTAAAACTATACCGGCTCCCTCTATTATGCTATCTCTTTTCTTGCTCTCCTCTATTCCTCCCCTGACTCAGTCCTGATCCTTCATGTCCACCTTCCCTCTCTTCTCTCCTTCTCTTTTTCCTGCCTCCCCCTTGCTCCCAACTTGCCCTTTCCCCTTCTTCGGGGGACTATGAATTTTTCTCTTAGGGTCCTCCTTGTTTCCTAGTTTCTCTGGTGGTGTGGATTGTGGGCTGGTATTCCTTTGCTCTATGTCTTATATCCATATATGCATGAGTACATACCATGTTTGTCTTTTTGTGACTGGGTCACCTCACTCAGGATGGTTTCTTCTAGTTCCATCCATTTGCCTGCGAATTTCAAGATTTCATTGCTTTTTTTTCCCCCGATGTTGGCAACTCTGGATGATCCAGCCTCTCCTGGTGTTCTCCTCACGCAAAGGGTGTAGGGGGTCAATACTCAATCTGAAGCTCAATCTCAAGCCGAGGGCATAGAGGGGCCAAGACTGCAATGTGGGCAGAGTCCAGAGAGTCTGGGATGCTGGGCGGGTCCACTATAGGCAGAGCTGTCCCTGTGAGGTGATTTGTAAAAGACAGTGGATTTAATAATCAGGGGCATAGTTTAGTGAAGTCGTTTACTTTGAAAGGGATGGGCAGTAACAGCCCACTCATCTCCCATGGTTCTTTCTTCCTCTTTTATTGATGCCTTAAGTCTGCCAGCAGCTATGTGCTGCCTCCTTCCTGCTGTGTCCTCCAGTCTTCTATCTCATGGTGAACTTACTGAGGTTTCTCCCCTTGGCTCTATGAAGGTGGATGATGCCCTATTGGGTCTAGTGGGGAGGGAAGGAAATGAGCATTGTGGAAAAGACTTCTTTCTCGGGAAGAAAAAAAGACTGAGGCTGTTGTGGAATATTACTTGAATCATGTAAAGATGTGTTGCATTGCTTATGCTGCATTTGTTTCACTATGTAAAGACGTGTTAAATTTGTTTATGTTGTAGAATATGACTTTATGTAAAGGTGTGTTGCATTGCTTATGCTGCATTTGTTTAACTGTGTAAAGTGTGTTATTTTTGTTTATGCTGCATTTGTTTAATTATTAAGGATGTATTACATTTGTTTATGCTGCATTTGTTTAATTATGTAAAGATGTATTGCTGTTTGACCTTACCTGCCTAAGGCACCTGATTGATCTAATAAAAAACTGAATGGCCAATAGGTAGTAGAGGGATAGGCAGGTCTGGTGGGCAAAGGCCAAGCATTCATAACTAATAACAACTCTTTGTGTCATGATTTGGGAGCTGGTTGATGGCCCAAAAGAAAGTCTGCTACATGAGACAAAATTTTCATAGAAATGATATTTCTACTGAGGTAATATTCAAAACAGACACACTGCATTTTTCTCTCCCAAGCCTTCCACTGTAGGGCATGCTTGGTGGAGAACACTGGGTCTCATTTCTTATCTCCCTTTCTCCATGGGTAACAGAATTAGCCAATGATACCTGACCTATGGTCATACAAAATAATGTCTTTGAGACATCATGGAATGACTACAGTTGATAAAACTGCCTTCTATCCACCAACAAGAATTTTCATATTGCTAGTGTAGGTCCTAGAATTGATCACTAAACAGATAGTGGAGAGTGAGAGCCAGGTATCTCACTGGGAATGAAGGAAGGTACCTAGCATGGTGGAGGTGGTGATGGAAGGATGACCATATCTCTATGAAAATATGTTAACTTAATATGAATGTGAAAAACTACATATACAAATATTAGTTGAGATGCGTGCATATTACTTTGTGTATACAAATTTCCTTTTTCATTTTGTTCCAAGGTGAGGACACTCAGCAACTTTGCATAGTTAGCAACCAGACGACTTCTGGGGCTTCCTGAGGAAGCGACTGAGGAATCCTTAGAGACATGACTGATTCTAGCACTGGGGCAGCTAATGTATGGGAAGAGGTTGGATGGAACATCATGAAGAAGGAGAGACTAATGAAGGGTTTCCCTTCCTTTCCAGTCTTCTGAACACAAGGAAGTTTTGTCAAAAGGCCAAAACATTGAAAGTTTGTGAAGCTGAAGAAGTGATGGATAATAATTCAACATATTAAAAAAACTTTGAGTCCATGCTTTTGTAAGTAAATGACTAAATAAACAGGAATTTTGTAGACTTTATATAAACACCCTACCTCAATGAGGTATGCATAGATAGCTCCTTCCAACTTAAGTGTGGGCTATGGAGTGACTTCCTTCCCAAGAGTGCAGAATAGAAGAAATTGTGGGGACAGATATTTGACAAGTGACTACAGGTCACCTAACAGTGACAGGATGCAAGGTAGCCTAAGTAAGATGGGAAAACAATGGCATCTTGCTTCTGGGGGCTTCCTTACAGGAATACTAACTAACTGCACCCTGATGAGAGAAACACTACACAAATCCCACTGAAGGGCATCCTTTGCAACTCTTTGAAATCCTTCAAAAAGAAATCAAACCTAAAGCTAGACATGGTGGCAATGCCTGTAACTCTAGCACTTGATGGCTGCATCTGAAGGAGTATGGGTTCAATGGCAGCCTGGGCTGTGATGTGTTATTCTTTGTAAAGTACAAGAACATAAGAAGTAAGCAAGAAAGAAGTATCTTTCAAAGTTGGAAGGATCCTAAGGAGACGTGGTGACCACATGTATCTGGGATGGTATGTCACTTACTGCATGCGTTCCTGGGGCAAAGCCACTTTAGAAAGAAAGGGTTTGCTTCTGTTCAGCTTGAGGTACAGTCAGTTATGGGGGAGTTACAGCAGCAGGAGCAGGAGACAGCACATTGCATGGGCAGTCGAGAAGCAGAGAGAGATGAACACTGGGACTCAGCACTCCCTCTGTTTTTTATGTAGTTCAAGACATCAGCCCTGTTAACCCAGTCTCAAAATTCCCTAGTAGATATGCCCAGAGATTTGTTTCCATGGCGATTGTAAATCTCATCAAATTGACAGTCAAGATTAATCCTCTTCGAAGGGATGCCAGAACAGAAAAAAAGACAGTAGGCAAAAGCCAGAGAAGTAAGCACAAAGTTTGTCAATCAATGCACATGGTTATTGATACCCTATCATGTTATTCTACTGATTGTAATGTAGAAACCATGCTGAGGTAAGACACAATAGCCAAAAATGGATATGGGATATATGTAGACTTCGTACTGTTTGTGATTTTTCTGTAAATGTAAAATAACTCTAAGTTTTACTTTTTATTTATTATTATTATTGCTGTTGTTGTGTATGCATGCAAGGAGGTTGTTGGGAGTCATCATTCTGTAAATATGTGTCTGATTGGTTTGAATAAAGCACTGTTGACCAAGGGAAACAAGATGGGTGGGACTAGGAGTCTGGGAGGATTCTGGTAATTGTAGTGAGTAAAGTTCTCACCATGTGATCTGCCAGGAGCAATGGGCACTCAGGAGTGTGTCCTCAAAAAGATAAGTTACTAATATCTATTAGTAATTATGGGTTAATAATCAAGTTAAAGCTAGCCAATAAGAAACCAAGCAAACGGCCAACGGCTTCATAATTAATATAGTGTTTTGTGTGTTATTTGGGGATTGAAGGCGGCAGGCAGGAAGACTACACATTACAGGATGTCATAGGAAAACTTTCAATAGTTGGTTGTCTCCTTCCAACATGGTAGCTGGGGCTTAAACTTGGGTTAGCAGGCCATGGAAGAAGCAAGCACTCTTACCCCCAAGCCACTTCACTGACCCACCTCAATAAGCTTTAGTTTAAAGAGCCAGAGTGTAGCAAGCTTTCTCGTTGGCCTGTCTTTGGATCACTAGCCCCCAAATATTGACATAGAGACTTCTTACTAACTATGAAACTTTGGCCATTAGCCTAGGCTTGTCTTACTAGCTCTTATAAATTAATCTGATTTTATTGATCGACATTCTGCCAAGTGACTCAGTTACCTCTCCTCATTGTGGCACATCTTACTTGCTCTGAGCTTGCTGGCAAAATCTGAAAACCTAGATTTCTCCTCCTCTTCCTCTTTCTCTGTAGAAATCTTGCCTATTCTCTTCTGCCTAGCTATTGGTCATTCAGCTCTTTATTAAGCCAATTACAGTGACACATCTCCACATAGTGTAAACAAATATTCTGCAACATTAGACACATGAACCATATCTGGTTCACTGAAAATATTCCCTCCATGAGTGATGGCCTGAAGTTGGGTATCTTTGGTATAACTCTCTATTTACAGAGAACAAATGCTTCCCTACCCTGGGCGTCTACACAGTGTGCTAGCATTTTGGAAACATTTTCAAGTTTCCCAGTGGTTTGACTTTTTTTTTCCACTCTTGAGAGAGAATATAAAATATATTTGTAGAAATAAAACAAACAGAATTTTATACAACAGTCTCAACCCGGGAACACATACAGGTGAAGACATCAGTGAGCATGGAGGGACAGAAGCACAAAGCCAAAGTGGTAACTCACTTCACAGATGACAATAGCAATGATACCTGGCTGACCGATTAGTCACACGCCTGCTCTAATGGTGATTACAAAAGACAAACTGTTTTTATAGACAACATCCAACAAGCCAGACTAAACAGGAGGAATCGAGGGAGTTGCTTAAATGGGGGGTGTTAAATGATGACACCAGTCTGGTGGCTTCTGAGAGCCTGCACCGAATACAAGCCCATAGCCTGCAGCCAAGAGGGGGAGGTGATGTCCCAGAATGACTTAAGCAATCTAGTGGCAAGAAATGAGGGAGATCCGTAGCCAGTGAAATGACAGAGGAAATTGGAGAGTCCAAGAGGATCAAGGGTTGAGTCATTGGGTGTGGCAACTTCTAGTCTAACTTAGAGAAGTGGCTTCTTATTTATAAGTTTGTGTGTTTATGATATATATATGTATATATATATGTATATATATGTACATACACGGGTGGAAGTCACAAGACAACTTGTGGGCATTGGTTATCTTTTTCTCTGTGGTTTCTGGGGATTAAACTGAGGCCGCCACTTAAGAGTAAGTGCCTTTACCTGCAAACCCAATGAGATTTTTTTCTTCTTGCTGATTTTTTAAAAAAATCTTCATTTGTATCTAATTTTCAATGTCATCTGGGTTACTGGTCACAATTAAGCAAGTCAACCAAATGCCAATCATTTGTGAGAAGTTCATAGGAAACCTAGCCATTTATGGTGGTGCTCTTCATCTGAGAGTGTGAAGGAGTTTCTGTCCTGACTGATCCCACAACTATTAGTCCCAAATACAGAGAAACTTCTATTAATTATAAATTGTTTGACCAATGGCTAAGGCTTCTTGTTGTCTAGCTCTATCTTAATTATTAACCCATTTTTATTAATGTATATATCTCCATATGGTCTTGGCTTTCCAGAAAATATACTCAGGTATCCTATCTTCCCAGCAGCCACATGGCGTCTCCCCTACCCCCAAGACTCTCTCTGCCTTCCTCTTCCCAGAATCTCTAGTCTGGTAGCCCCACCTGTACTTCCTGCCTTGCTATTGGCCAATCAACATTTACTCACCTGTTGAATGACTAACAGTGAGTTGTACAGCTTTGTGGTACTATGGATTGTGAGGACCAGAACAGGTAGAACTCTCAGGCATGAATCATCACGTTCATTCATCAATGAGAGTGACTGGTGATGAAATCACATCTCTGAAATAAATGTAGACATCTTTGTGTGTGTTTTCTCAGAGTTATTTTTGAGGCAATTTATGTCCTTTTTGGCACTGTCGTGTTAAAAATTTGATTAATAAGAAATGCATTTCACATTTTTATAATTTGTTACATTTTAAAAGTATGTCACTCACTTTATCCTGGATGCTTGCTGTCTGTCACCTTGACATCCTTTGCCTTGCTTGGCCCAATTTAGCTTGTATCTTAGCTTCTAAAAAAGAAATTCTCCTAAGAAATAACCTGGGGTAAGTATGCCACACAGGAGTATTAATGCTGCTATTGAAATAGTTCAAAGCATTTAGAACAATGGAGAAATCTTGCAATCATTGTACCCTGGCCCACTGATTTTAGCTCTTTCTTGGACTTCAGTCCCAGGGATTGAGTTGGGAGACACATGAACTGTACCACTTTTCTGATGACCGTTTTCTTTTTTCACTTTACAGGCTTCATACACCCAAACCAAATAAAAAGCATCTCTGGGGATGGCCTCCAGGATTCACCTGGCCAAGTAACCAGAGGACTCCATACCACAAATGAAGTTTGGAACCACTGTCACTAATAACAGAGAATTCCTGTCAAATGCATGTGAAATCCTTTGGGGGGTCATATCCTTCCCAATAATGCTTGGAAATCCACCAGTAAAATGGGACTTTGAATATGTCGGTTATAGGTACAGCACAAAGGTTCCACTAGTTATGCAATAGAATAGAGTAGTATAATCTATTTTTTTAATTAAATGAAGGCTCAATATAAATGACACCAGCTGGTAATGCCTTGGAAAAAAACAAAAAAAAACCAAACAAACAAACAAACAAAAAAAAATGTATTTTTGCTGAGGCAGCAATTTTGTGACCTACCTGCTTCAGACTCATTCTTGAAAGAGCATGGCTGACCTAGTCACCTGCTGCTTCAACAGACCAGTTTTTCACATGTGAGACCCTTCAGCTCGTAGATTTACATGGAAACTGCAACGAGCAGAAGGAAGGGCTAGTCTACTTGCAGGAGTCATTGCTTAAGGCTAAATTCTCTTAGTTTCTCTTTTTATACATTTAGTCAACTCACCTGTCTCCTTTTGTCCCTTGTTGCTCCTGTCCAGTTATCCTGGAGTAGCGGGTGGAAATTGTTTCACCCATAAATATTTCATTATGGACTAGTAAAAGACAGGAGCTTTAGAAATATTCCACTCATATCAAGGCACATCTAGTCATTGTTCCTTATTGTCTCCTGATTGTTTCCTTTCGCTCTCTGCTTTTACCACCCTCCCTCCCCTTCCTCCCTTCTTCCCTTCTCTTCCTATCTTCATACTCCCCACTCCCTTTCTAAACGTGGGTTATTTTTAGGACAGGGTCTCATGCACCCTAGGTAGGCCAGGAGCTGGCTGAGGCTGGGGATCACCTTGAACTCCCCATCTTGTTGATTTTACCACTGCAGTGGCTGGGATCGAAGCCTGGGTGCCACTACCCTGATTTGGAAGGTGCGGGGATGGAACCCAGGGCTTTTGGTACGCTGCCCTGACACTCTATCCATTGAACTATATCCAACAACTTTTTAAACCCACTGTGGTTTTTTCTTTTTAACAGTTTCTTTTCTGAGGCAGGGTTCTCATGTGTCCAGGCTATCTCCAGACTCCTCACACAGTTAAGAATGACATTGAACTTCTGATCTTCCTACAACTGCCTCACAAGTGCTGGGATTATGGGCGTGCACCACCACACCGGACAAGTATCTGATGCTGAGTGTGGACACAGGGATTCCTGCATGCTAGGCCATTTGGTGTATGCTACCAGCTGGGCCACAGTTCCAGTCCCTTTTTAGTTGTGTTTAAATGTACAACTCCGCAGTAGTAAGCCCATTGATTCTGTGGTGCAAACCTTGTTTGCTCTCCATCTCTAGAACTTACTTGTTCATTCTCTCAAACCGAGTCTCTGCGCCTGTTAAACACTAACTCCCAGCCTCCCTTCCTCTCCTGGAATATGATGACCACTGCTGTGCCATGTGTATGCGTCTGATAACTCTCAGCATCTCATGTGTAGGAACCTTCCCAGTAGTTCTTTTATGACGGGCTTATTTCACTTGGCTTGAAATTTCCAAAGTTCATCTTCCCTCTTCCGGGTTTTGCAATACTTTATCTTTTATTTTGCGAGAGAGGGTCTTGTGAAATAATGCAGGCAAGGCTTGACCTCACTCTGTAACACAAGCAGGTCTTGAACTTGGAATCCTCCTTGTTCCACCTCCCAAGTGCAGGGATTGCAGGTATGTGCTTCCATGCCCAGGCCAGGGTTTCCTTGCATACAGGTAATATTCTGTTGCTGAGTATCTTGCCTGGGTTTATCCCATTGTTTCATATTGTTTGTAGTTGTGTTATTTCAGCTTTTACTTATGAGTTCTCTGAATTCTCTGGAGGCAAAGATACATGCAAAGTATGTGGCAGGGCACTTTGCAAAAGCCAAAGAGCTGCACAGTCACAGAGCCAGTGCTGAGATTCAGCTCTCTGTAAGACGTTAAACAAGAGTGCTGTGACAAGCACTGCTCTTCCTCGTTGTTTGTTCCCAGCACTGGGGACAGAACACAAGCTCCACACATTCCAGACAAACACTGTGCTGCTGAACCTTAGCCTCAACTCATTTTGCCTGTTTCCTTTGACCTCTTGGCCATCTTGACTCATTTTTATTTATTTTTGTATGAGTGTTGCCCAGTTGCTCAGGCAACCAGCCTCAAGCCCACGGTGCAGCCCAGCAGGCCTAGAGTCTGTGTTCCTCCTGCCTCAGCCTCCCTAGAAAATGGGTTTATCAGCCTGTGACTCCAAACTTGGCTCAAGACAAAACACTTAAAATTATTTATTTTATCTGTATGAATGTTTTGCTTTCTGGTGCATGCCTGGTTCCCTTGGAGGCTAGAGCAGTCATTGGATCCCCCCTGGGCTGGAATTACAGATAAATGGAAGCTGAGAATCACTTCTGGGTCCCCTGGAAGAGCAGCAGTGCTCTTTGACACTGAACCATCCCTCCAGCCCAACATGGGCCACTTTTCAAATAAAAATAAACAGCTCTCCACAGTTGCAGGGCCACATTGTTTGGTTTTGTAGGAGTGGTATCTATCTCTCTTGTACCTCATGGTCAAGCATTCAGAAACAGAGAGACAAGCTCTTGCTCATCGAGCCTGGCCAGGAAACAGGATCCAACACACTGACTCAGCGCCTAAGCAATGGTCAGACAGTGTCTGAGTATTTGCCCCCAGGTACCATTTCTCAACCCATCTAAGTCATTACCATCTAAGTCATTATTCATCTAACTCTGTGCTGTGTGCTCACACTAGCAGGTCCTTCCTAATATCCTCTCTTGAAAGTATCCACCAGGTAGATGTTTGACAGGTGTGTGTGTGTGTGTGTGTGTGTGTGTGTATGTGTGTGTGTGTGTCTGTGTGTGTGTCTGTGTGTGTGTGTGTGTGAGAGAGAGAGAGAGAGAGAGAGAGAGAGAGAGAGAGAGAGAGAGAGAGAGAGAGAGAGAGAGAGAGAGAGAGAGAGAGAGAGAACACAGGTCTTTTGCATTGTTGATGTTTAGCAGGCAGGGGTAATCTGATCGTTCTGAATTTATTATAGTTGTATTACTTACATATTGACCGACCTGCATCTTGGAAGTATATTTTCTCTGATTCCACCATATCTTCCCAGTCTACTCTTTTGCTTGTTTGAGACAAGGTCTAGCTATGTATTCCTGGCTGGCCTAGAACTTGCTACATGGACTAGACTGTCCTTTGCCTCCTGAGTGCTAGGATTACAGACATTTGCCATCATGCCTAGCTTTGGTCTACTTTAAAAATAATAGACCAAGATCAGCATCAGAATATTATACTGACAAAACTAATTATAATTGTGTAACTCAGTGGTTCTCAGATGTTAACATTACAATTCATAGCAGTAGCAAAATTACAGTTACAGAGTAGCGAAGAAAATAATTTTATGGTTGGGGTTGCCACAACACGAGAAACTTTACTGAAGGGTTGAAGCACTAGGAAGGTTGAAAACCACTGGTCTAATTATTTAAAAAATGTATTAAATATGCTGGGCGGTAGTGACACAGTCCTTTAACCCTAGTATTGAGGAGGCATAGGCAGGCAGGCAGGTCTCTGTGAGTTCAAGGCCAGCCTGGTCTACAAAGTGAGTTCTAGGACAGCCAGAACTGTTACACAAAGAAACCCTGTCTCAAAAGGCAAAACACTGAATGACAAAAAAGTGTTAAGTACAAAGCTCAAATATGTTGAATTTCACACTATTTCAAAATTCCTTTCACTGACATATAAGTGGTCTATTACAATAAGTTATTTTTTGTGTGTATTTTGTTGCTGCTGTGGGTGCAGACATAGAAACCATTTTCATAGAAAGCCCTTGGAATTGCAGAAGGGAACATAGTTTTTATATCACACTGAGTCCAGCCAGCTTTACCAACTTGAAATCTTTACAAACCCCAAATATGGTATATAATAAAGTTCTCTAATCAAGTAAAAATAGTATTCAAAATATGTAAACATGGAGAAAACATCAACGGTAATGTCAGATGGAATTTAAATGTTGGGTCACTCTGTGATTCATAGTCTCTTTGGTTTGGAAATGGAGAATTCAATAAAGGCCCTAGATCTTTTCCCTCAAAAGCTGGTGTGCCATTCTGCTTATAGTTTTTTTGTTCATGGGTCTTCTGACGCATATTATCAGGCTTCAGATTAAGAATCTGATGTCAGGAGATGTTAGCCAAAGGACACACACTCACAGTTAGGTAGGATTAATGAACACGAGGTGTGCTGCACATCATGTTTACTGATGATATAGTGTTTTCCTGAAATATGCATTCATGCCACAAAATGGTAACTATGAGAGGTAATTGGCAAAACCTAACCCTTCTACCAAGCATATATACTTCAAGATATCATGTTGGCCATGATAAGTACATATAACTTTATGGTTAAGCTTTTAAAAAAAATCAACT